TTCCGATACAAGGACCGTACGAGTTTTTTGATTCTCTCGGAAAAATACCAAATGACTACAAAGTGGGTTTTGAAACCGTATTAAAGAACAAGTTTTGGATGATGTGTGGTCCTTTTCATGACACTAAATCAGATACCTGCGGACTGTATTGTGTATATTATATCATGACTAGATGTACAGGAAGGACTATAAAAGACATTGTCAAACCTTTTAATGTGTTTAATAGATAATGGAATGATATATATGTTAGACATATTGTAAATAAACACAAACTCTGAAATCTATTTTTTTTTGTATTCATTTATTTTGTATATAGCAATAAAATATATGAAAAAGAACATTGTTTTTGTTTTAAAATGATATCCAGTCTATTTTAGTTTTTTGAGATTTTCCCGCCTTTTTAGTTGATTTCTTCCGTTCTCCCGGAGGTGGTAATGACACTTTGGTAGGTCCATCTTTCGTTACTTCTCCAAACCCTTTGGTTTTCGGTTGCAGCATGCGTTGATATTTTTCGTAAGGTACCAAAATAAACTTTTCCATTATGCCAATACCGGTTCCAAATACGCGAAAGTAATTTTCACCAGGGCGTAGATCACTCGAGGCTTATGTTGAATGGCTTCCCTTTTTTGTTTGAAACCGACTGATCTGTTTCAAAGTAGATGAATAATGCGTCTCTGACGTTTAAGTTGAGCTTTCTTCGAAGCTGTAAGGCGTATTTTAAAGCGCAGACTATTATAGGCAATTTGAGAAAGAGCTTTCAACTGCTTTTTAGTAATTGTACTTAACAATGCCTTTCTTTGTGCGGTTGTAGTACTTTTAATGAGATGTAAGAAATGACGTTGTTGTTGGATTAGTTCGACCATGGTTACTCTTAAGTTTTACACTGCTTCTTACGTCAGTTTATAAACTAGGGGGTCCTCGTCGGGAAAAATATGCGTTCTTAGACGGTATTTATCTTCAGCATGTGGACTCATGTCTACGAAAAAATAACCGTGTTTTGTACTTAAGGCGTCTTTATAGGCTTTTACAAATCCTTTCGTTTTACCGGGGTAGAGCTGACGTCCCAATATTTCCACCTGAGAAACATCTCTTAAATTTGTCATCAGTACCATATATCACGTATTTAGGGCAATTGTCCTGGCATGTTTACCTCCTGGATACAAGTTTTGCATGATAAGTATGACAAACACTCTCTTGTGGTGGCAGCCTTGTGTAAAAAGTAGTTCCATATCTTTGTTTTTCATCACTTCATGCATGAGATCATCGATAATAATCATCCTTTTATCGGTTCTTAATACTTTATAACAGGTAGAGCATCTCCAATATTTTTGACACTGTGATAGACCGCTGGGTTTTCTTTTACATTTTCCTTTTTTATGAACTGGTACCGTTTTATGTTGTTTCAAATCTTTGTCTGATCTGAAGATCATGTTACAGTCTGTGCACTTGACTGTTTTGTCTGTTTCCGGGCCGTTGTCCGTTTTACACACGATACAGGAGGTTTCAAACTGATGATTTTCACTGTTGTTGTAGTGTTTGAGGCATTGGTCGCAGAAATATCTTGCGCTAAAAAAGCCAGTAATGTTGGTAATGGCGTGAATGTGGTCGTCGTCCACGAGGTACAGGTAAATACATGGACGCTCGTCCTTACTAGGGCTGGTAGTAAACTTGTTACCTAGTCTGGCGCTGACCACCATCACGCGCACTCCCAACACTTTTTCAAACGCCTCCACGTCATCTAAACTGGCGGAACGATCTAAAAGGTACTTCGGCTAGTTGACTGATGGCTACCGCTAGTTGTCTTTTGTTTCATTTCTTATCTTTTCCCTTAGTTTTTTTATAATAACTCCCTGGCACTTGCTAATGTTCTAGTATAAGCTGTAAATTAGACTTCTTTTGACGGTCTTTAGCAATTTCTTTCCATTCTTCTAACGAACATCTATTTAATTTTGCCCAACTTACACCGATTGCTCTAGCCATGCACAGTTGGTCATTATTTTCAATGGTCACTATAGATGTTTTTAATTTTAATGAACTGTTTTTTCCTTTTAATTTGGTGATTCTTCGCCTTGCTCCTCGTTTTGGTAATTCGACAGTGCCAATAGAGATATAAAAACTGTCATCGATAAATAAGTTGATGATGAATGACAACATGGCCCAGATCGTTCCCCGCCAAATTGCCCCGGGGTTCTTCTTACACGTCTTTAAACATTTGGTGAAGACCTTGCCTCACATCCTCTAGCCGGAGTCCATAATGCTGCTCATCCACTTTCACTCGATAACTCCGATCCACCGCTGCTTTTGTTGCGTATGTCCATTCTGATTTTTTTCTTATCGTATACTTCAGCTCCCACTGGTTGTCGGGTCTATAAGACGGTCCCGGTTGAGAATCATCCCCATTCTTGTACTATTGGGGACTGGGGGCTCCACTCTCTATCTTCCACACAAGTAGTTGCAATATTATCGATTTTTTTTGTCAAATAATAATGCTTTCGCTGCACCTTCGATCTCCATTTGCTCTCTTACATTCTCCTGCTCCATATTTAAATTGTCCGTGTCTTCTTGGTTCTGTAATGTACCGTCTAATCTTTCAAGTATACTTTCCAGTTCTTTTTTCACAAAGTTATTTCCATATTGAGGGTTCCTTAACTGAAAAAGTCGACAAATGGCAACCCGGGGGAATGCTGTATCCCTCACGTTGCCGGCAAAATTCATCAGCTGACTTTTCCGTCAGTAAAAGTATTTATTCAAAGTCATGCAAATACTGTTATTCAAAAGTCTGTTTTCCCGTGTTTCTTGTTAGAATTCTAGATTAAAAATGAGCTAAGTGACTCGTTCGCTCTTATTTTTATTTCTATGTCATTAATGGCCTTCGATACCTTGCGAGAATATAATAACAAAATAGCGCAAAAGATCTTACGAACTAAAATATCTAAGAAATATTTGCTTTCAAGTAGGAATAAAAAATAAAATAGTAGCGCAAGAAATCTTACCGTTACTCTATTCATGCGACACTATTCTTTCATAAATTAGTGGTCTCTTGTTACGATACTGTCACCGTAAGTTGTGCTACGTGGTCTTGATAAATAGGGCTAATAAGAGGGCTTTAATATCGATTACTGTCTGTGTAAAATGACATTTAGTATCGTTTAAAATAGGTTGCACTACATTGGGACGAGTTTGATATCATGTACGATGGCATTTATATAAGATAGAAATAGCGCTTACTAGGAAGAGGGGTTTAATATCGATTACTGTCTTTGTATAATGACATTAAGTATCGTTTAGAAATAGGTCGCACTACATTGGGACAAGTTTAGTATCATGTACAATGGCATTTATATCAGATGAAAATAGCGCTTACTAGGAAGAGGGATTAGTATCGATTGCTGTCTTAGTATAATGACATATCGTATCGTTTAGAAATAGGTCGCACTACATTGGGACAAGTTTAATATAATTTATGATGGCATTTAATGGCGTGTTTAATATGAATTAAAATGAAGGTTTACATATGGCAAATATGCGAATTGAACTTTTATAACAGTAGCGGTACTAGGTTCAGTGTCCCTTTGTGGAGTTTCGAAAAATAGACGCAAAAAGTATTTTTTAATTTTATTATAAACAAAAAAATCGATAGATATACATTTTTTTCTTTACAAACAAGCAGTTCGTTAATACAATGTTTATTTATCATACATTTACTTTTATTATAAAATTAAATACTGTAGATAAATTCTCTGTAAAACAAGTAGCACTGCCATTTCATTTTGTTTTATTTAACATATAAATATTGTTTTTATGCAGCATGTTTATCATACAAAATTTGAATGTAAAATTGATAGGACCGCACACACAAAAAAAATTGGTACGGCCTAATACCAGGGATAATAAAAAGTTTTCGTAATTTTCAAATCTATTTCCTGGTGTAAACTTGACAAGCGACATTATACTGTCTGGACTTACACAGTTAAGATTTTTAAATTAACTTTCTTCGTATATTATTTTTAATGCATTTTTATGTAACTGATGCAAATTTTTCTACAGCGCTAAAATTTATTGATGGATATTAAATGTCAGCTGCGAAATCATCACAAAGCGTAAGTCATTTAAAAGAATTTAATTCTTGTTCAAAAAATGTATGTCTTGTTGTTGTCAAAAAAAAGTCGGTTTCATTAGCATATACGTAATTCATTTTGTATCGTTTTAAAGGTATTTTTAATTGCATTTTTTAAATATTTTTGCTACACAGAAAAGTCTGTTATTTTTACATATACTTTAATATTTTCAATACCAAATTGTCCTTTTGTTAAATGCAGAATATACAGAATAATAATTAATAATATGCAGAATAAGGTTTACTATATTACGGTAGTTGTACAGCCTGCGGGTATATAAAATGTGTCATTTATTAATGTTTAAAATTAAAGCTGATTTCAGCTGCGTTGTTTATGAATTTGTTCCGATACATAATTTTGAAATCAATATTACTTTGAAAAAATATATATATCAATTGGCCAAATACCGACTATGTTAAAAGACTAAATTTGTATATTAAAACTAGAACCTGAAATTGACTGTTGCGTTTGTGCGCTTATTCCGTTATATGTAAATGGCGGTCATTTGTGTGAAACCGGGTGAAAGTATATTATATGTCACATATACCATATAAATAATTTACCTGTGCCTCGATGGGAGATTAAAAAATAAGTCAATAAAATAACCGCCGCACATGTGCCGATATTCACATCGCTTATATGCAAATATATTACTATATATATGGAAACAAGATGGCTGCCACACGTGTGCAGTCTTGGTGCCGCACGTGTGCAGTCGTGCTGCATCATGTGTGCAGTCTTGCGGATAAAGTGTCCCATATACTACTTGTTTAGAACAATGATACGCTTAAAGTTAAAATCAAACATTTAACAACAGTGTAAACTACTAAAGAATAATTCACAATCGTGGTTTAACTGACAATGCTTTTTTATACATTTTAGACAATGTTAACGACAGGGAATTTACTTTGATGGAGCTTGATATTATCGTAAATAAAAGTCACAAGACGCCTTCAAGGTTAGGTTAAGAAAATGTTTATTATCAGTTTATCCATGCAATTATTTATGTTAAAAAGCCGGAGCTTGTGGCGAAGGGATGTTGAATTTCTTCATGATTCTCATGTACAAACTCAATTAAAGTAATTCTGTATTTTAAATAATTTTGTCTTTCTTTTTTGAGAAAAAATAACGTTAAATATCAATAACAACGGTATAGGAAATTGCGTACAAAGAAGTCTGGTCTAATAGAGTGTATGACCAAAAGTAGAAGGGATAGTTGCATAGGTTAATGTTTATATAAATGTGTATACAAATATGTATTTTCTCGAATTGTAAAATATGTGTCTTTAGCAAAACAAAGATGATAATAACATTAACATCGACATTATATTGCAATGCCTTGTGATGCTGATCGTTATGCATAGCTACCTAAATATATTAATTTTATGTAAATTAAAAATTAAATTTTAATGTTAAATATGATTGAGGTAAGACAGATGTGTTTTTGATAGAGCAGCACAATATTTATTTTTTAAAAATGTTTACTAAACTTATTATTCATATCATTTTACATCACCTAGACCGGAAACTTATCGTGCATTGATTGACAAAGACGAAACAAAGCGTTGGAATAAAAATATTCCATTTGAAATTGGCGACGGTATTGGTAAGTTCTCAACGAAGATTGGTCTTTTATTTAATCTGTAAAATAGTACTTTTAGACTAATCGTTTTCTTCATTCTTAATAAAGGGATAAACATAATAAGTTTACTAGAAAAGCACTATGATTTTTGCTTTGCATCTTTTATCGTTTATTAGCAGTTACTATAATACCGTAGATTAAAGCAAGTATAAAAGTGTCACTATGTTCAATTACTTAAATGAATTTTAGTAAGAAATCATATTTAGAAAACTTCGCTTAAACTTAATACTATGAGGGATTCCAGGAATTGTTGGAATAAATGTAAGGTTTGTCTTCGCCTCACCTGCATGTCATTAACAAAGAATAATTACCTAAGTATTCAAGCTTAAAGAAACCCCTTAATACATATCCAAATGGTAAACGAGTGCTAGATATACCCATGCACTGTTGTCTACCTGAGTGCTCTAGTTGAAAACATCATTGTTCTTAGCGTATGTTTTCCATTGTAGATTTAAATAGATATAAACGTGTTCCAATATCTGACACAAGGTCAATATTTATTATCTCTAAGAATTTAAATGGCCATAACATTGGCTATTCCATAATATGAAAACTTGTGTTTTATTAATTTTGTTGCATTTCAGATGACCTTCAGGAACTTACCATCCAACGAGCGATTCGTAAATGGGAAAAATACTCATGCATTAGTTTCTATAATGACAAGCAGATATTCAACAGATTAGTGTTCAAACGTGGATACAATAACTTGTAATTTTAATATAAATATTCATTCATAACTTTTGGTCTTGGTCTACGGGGTCATTTATCAATATCTTCTTGTACTAAAGGTTTATTTTCTTTCTTAACTGGTGCTTACAATAACATCGACACGTTCATTGAAATGAAATGTTTGCTCTTTCGCGTGCATATGTAGAGTATTTTCCTTTGCTACTTTCTAGAATTAATTGATAATATATTTAGAAAATGCATGTTCTTCTTTATTATTCATTATTCATTCATCCAAAGACTTAATGATAATATATTTTTATAAATACATATGCTCTCTCTTGTTTTCTGTTTGGCTATAATGCATCCTGATATTCTGAGAATTACACAAAGTTTGAACATCACTAAAGAAATCAGTAGAAGAGGCTTCAAAGACCACCTTCAATTTTTTTTAATTTTTTATATTATTGTGCAAACACAAGTATGTAAGATGATTTAAGTAAAATACAAGTGTTTTATCTTCAACATGCCTGCTGATACTAATACCTGGTAGAGTAAATGTACAACGTTTACCACAAAGCACAAAGTACTTATATGAAACAAGGCCATTATTGCTAAAGATTAAAGCTTTAAGATAAGTGCAAAATTAAGCATATAGCTGAAAAATAAGGTTGGGGTACTTTGAACGAATACTTACTTGAGCAAAAAGAGTTCAATGTAAGCAAGTGTGATACCCATTTGTCCGTCGTATGTTGTCTGTCGTTTACAGTTTATCTTTAACAAAGTCTTCTCCTAAATATTTGTTTGTTTGTTTGTTTCATTTTACGCAACAGTATTTCAGTCATATATGCGGGTAGTTTCCTAACCATCGTTCCTTGGGAGTAACACAATACTAGACTACCTTCCTCCGTGCTAAACTACCAAAGCATCTCCCGGGGATCGAACCCACACCAGAGAGGTAACTGGATTAGAAGTCATCGACTCTAACTCTTCGACCACGGAGACGGTCTCTTCTAAACCTCCAAACCAAATTGATTAATGGAACAAAACAGGAATATTTTGGTTAGTCTGCTAGACAAGATGGCCACCAGAGCTAAATATAGTAAAATCTTTAACGCCTGAACTATTTGAAAAGATCCGAATTTGATGACACTTAACCTGACTGATCCTTAGATGGACCTATATAAAGATAATCAAGTGATTTCAGTCTGATGAGCACGATGGCCGCCAGAGCTAAAAATAGACAAACGTTTTAAATGACGTTTTGTCCTTAACCGACAAAACGCTATGTAAATGATCATTAGACAGTTTTTTTACTACAGTTGCTAAATGCATTTGTAACCACGCTGTCAAAGCTAAAAAAAGCAGAAGCCTTGAAACCACATATCCTCTTTAACTGTCGAGAAGATTAAACTATACCGAAATGATCCTTAGATAATTTCCTATACTATTGATCAAAGTGTTCCGGCCTGCTAAACAAAATGGCTGCCGGATCTAGCAATAGAAAACCTATTTAAATAACAACTTCTTCTAAACTTTCGGGCCAATTTTGATGAAACTATACATAAATTGTCATTATCTAAATGTTGAAATGGTTCAGGTTTGCTGATAAAAATTTCTCAAGAGCAAAAATACAAACTTTTAAACTACAACTCCCTCTTTACTCTTTGGTAGATTGTGATGAAACTATACAGCAATGGTCTTCTATAAACGTTGCTTTAATGGCTCTGGTCTGCTGAATTAAATCCCATCCAGTGGTTTAACAGGAGTGACATCATTTGCTTATTAATAACTATTGGGTATATTTTTATCCTTGGGTGGCCTTCTACAACACAATATACAAATAGGTTATTGTGTGCTTAACAAGGTGGCCGTCGGAGACATTCCCTGTGTTGTCCTCTTTCGCAAATAGTTTTAATAAAAATCACTCCTCAAATTATTTTAGTCACCATTACGTAAAAATAATCTGGAATGCATCAATTGAAAAAAAATATTTTAGTACACTAACCTCTGCACACAAAAATTTGTAAAATCGATGTTACTACCAATGCTTTTATTATGTTTTCTTGTTTGTTTGAATCAACTACATAGTTGGGCCAATTAATGGCCACCATTGCCCTATTGTTTAACATATACATGTCAATTACTGATGCCGATTGATAAATATATTACAGTAATAAAATGACTTTTTTAGAATTCATTTCATTACCTCTGAATAAAATGTGTATACTTTTATTTATATAAAATAGGTGTGCATCAGAAGTTGGGATGCAACAAGGACCTCAGATAATTAATCTTGGGAACAGTTGCTTTAAGGTATTTTGTTACTTATTTTATAATGATATAGTTATGTAATAGTACAAAACCTTTGCTTTAAACGAACGTTAAATACTTAAAAATAATGATCATAAAATTAAGCAAAAATGTGTGTTTATGTTAACGTATTCTTATACAAGATTCTATTATCTCATACATGTTTATGCTTGTAATATCTTATCATCTAAAATGATTTTACTTGCCTGGTAGTTTTAAATATCGAACACATCTTATTTACCATAAACTGTTTCTGCAAGGTAAGAGCAGTTACCAGATCAGCTATAACATAAGATAAGCAACATAATGAAGTGTCAATCGCAGCACTCAACCATTGTACGGATATAAATTACAGATCATTAAAGCGGCTTAAAAAGATTATGCTATTTATTGAACAATTTAAGGTTATTTGAAATACTTATCGACTTGTAAATAATGTGACCAATACATAATGATAACCGTCAATGTAACGCCATTCATCTTGAAATAAAAGCCTACTAACAACTTCAAATATAAACTGATGTTTGGACTTCAGTCCCTACACATCCACTTGGTAAAGCAACTCTAAACTTTAATATACTTGCTTACGTGACAATCAGTGTGCGGGTCATTTAATAGCTGGTAACATCTCTCTTTCCTTCGCAATAATATTCATCAGACTTCATGTAAACCATTCGTCTCAATAACAATGGACAAAATATATTACAACTGAGTATAAGTTAGTATTTCTTACACAATTAAAATACTTCGTTATCTCAACGAAATAGCTCATGAAATCTGAATCAGTCACGTATCCGTTAACACAATATTAACAATGCGATAGAAAAATAGCAACGCATTTTTTTCTCTAGAACTTACAGAAAAAGTCGCACAGTGTGTGCCGCATTTTATTTCGCAAACTGCACAGTAAGTGCTGAATTAATTTCTAGTAAAACTTGGCCCGAGTCAGTGTCTCCTAGATCCAAGAACATGATTTCTGCTTAAAATTGATGTGCAGATATATTTTGTAATAATATTGACAGCCTCTCAAACATATTGTGGTAATAGTACATTATTTGAAAGGTTTATGATAGTGATAGTTTTTGATGAAGCGTAGCGTAGCATGTAAGAAAATCAAATTATATGAGGAAACATTTATAAATTCTTTATTATTATTTTTTGTCCTTTATCTTGGTGCAATGCAGTATTACCAATAAACTTTTAAGCATACTTTTGGTTACAGCTAATTTTATTAGATCTGCAAAACTGATCATGGACTTAGACAACTAGTGGCTAAAGGAAACTCAAATAACATGCTTACATTTGTAAGACAACACATTATTGATCCATACACATTTGACGTTTAATACAGTAATGAAAAGACATTTCAACTTTGATTTTGAGAGAATCTATGGGTTTGATATACACAAAATGTATTAAAAAACAAATCATATATCTTAGCATGCAAATATATCTTGTCAATGCTGGATATTGTACGAACTTTTTATTATAACCATTGCTATAAATGCAACGTATGTATAGGTGTGTCTAGTAAAGATTGTCAAAAATACATTTATTGCTGAGGCTATTATTAAACATTATCACGAAAATGACTGAATTGTTAATGCCTGAGATAAAATGCAAATGAAATATTTTGCTAGAAATTCTGCTAAGTGTTACTATGGGTGACTCAAAATTCAAGTCAATTGGATATTTCGTTACGACCTTCTATTTTGTAAGTGAATTGCTATAGTGATAAATTTTCAACGCTGAAATATACTACATTTGCTTATAATATGCATTTTAATGACTTTTATTTTCAGCAAGAAATTGTTATTCATGAGATTGGACACGCTTTGGGATTCTACCATGAGCATAACCGTTGGGATAGGGACAATTACATTAAAATTAACTATGAAAATATTGAACCCGGATATAATCGATCTTTTGTTAAAGAGAAAGAAGAAAATGCAGATTACGACCATGATTATGATTATTTGAGTATTATGCACTACGGACAGAATGTAAGAGTTATCGTTTCATTTTACTTCATTTTTTATGATTGAATCATATGTTCATGTGTTGTTTGTGTATTTAGGATGACGTCATTTTGCCGTTATGAATGAAGTTTTAACTTGAAGAAATGCAAAATGATCGTCATTGTTTCAATTATCCTAATGAAATGTGATTTATATACACTACGGAAAGAAAATAATATAATATAATATAATATATATAATTACATTTACGCTGGTATGTTCAGGCAGTCGGGGTAAAATTCTTACGGTCAACCCGAAAAGTAGTTAAACACCCCCAAGAAACAACCGAGGGGAAACATGCCAGTTGAGATATACTTTTATCCCGACACCCTGTCTTATATTTTATTTTGTGAACGATAATACTATTTTACTACAAGATTGTCGTTACATTGCAAACTAACATGCCATAGAGACAATACCGATATTTCAAACGCTTCTTATAAATATTGGGTTATGTTTATTTAATGTTGTTTCTTTCTATTCTTTCAATTACCGTTTGACACATTTTCGAAGGTTTAATTGTTGTTGTTGTTGCTTTGTTTCTGCACTTAGGTAAATTATTGTGACTCAATGACGAATATAATTATGTCCCTTATTTCATGAACTTTTGTTGCATAAAAGACGAATGCAAAATATGGTATTTAAACTTAAACCAAAATGTGTATCTTTCTCTCTGAAGTATGTTTTTATTAAGTTTGTATTTATTTATTTATTTATTTAAATGTACCAGTACATACATGTTTATTTTGAAATATCATAATAATAATAATAATAATAATATCATCTTAGTCCAGTAACGGGTTGAATGCTTGTAAAATTTAATAGGAGTTAACCCGTTACTGCACTAAAGTGCCGATAAATCATTCATTATTACACAATGACACAATAAACATGATCATAAAAGAACATCTTAAATCTATTGTGTTTAAGTATCACTATCTATACTACAATAAACATTCAATTATCGATGAATTTTAATTAATCATCCTACGCTTTTGTTCCAGTTTTTCTCAAAGAATGATTCAGGAAAACTTACAATTACAATAGAAACAACAGATCCTAAATTTCAATCTAGAATTGGGAAGGTCAAGCGTCCGAGTTTTCAAGATTATAAAACTGTGAATGCTATGTATAAGTGTGCTGGTTAGTATGTCTGGTTTCTGCTTTATAAAATTATATTATCAACGTGGAATACTTATATTCATGTACCTAAGCCTTCTACAGAGGAGAAGAAAACGTCCACAGATTATATATGGTATACGTATTAAACGCATAGTCTTATGTTTTCGTCTTAATTTTGATGTCGACACAATACACCATATCTTGTTAGCATCAGGCAAGGCACAATAATTTAAACTGCAGTCTTGACTACACCGTGTTATGTTTCTGATTCGACTGACTTTACTTGACTACTGACACATATTACTTCTGTTGTTTACTTGTTTAGACTTTAATTCGTCCTTAGAGCATATCAAATTGATTTCTTTCCAAAAGTAGACCGCTCCAAGTAAGTAATATCGAAATAAAATTGATAAACCAATAATGTTGTATACGATAATTAACTTCATTTTATTTGTAGATAATTGTGACAATGATGAATGTCCTAAAGATGGGTTTAAAGGAAAGCAATGCCAATGTTATTGCAAAGGAAATGCCGATGGCACACGAGTTAAACTGTGTTATGAAACACGTATTATATCATTATGTATTCGACAAAGAAATTATATTAATGCTTAAGAATTTTTGCTTGCTCTGGTATGATATATTTTTTTATTTATTGGTAGGTACAAACTTAACATGTTTTCAAAATATTCGTTATCAAATAGTTAAGGAGGAATAAGCTCATGGACAAAATGATTCCAATTGGATCTATATTTGTTCTAACAATTCTTAATCAAAAGCAAACCTGCCCTAAACTGTTTGATACGTGAATTGATCTTATGTGGGTTTTTTAATATTCATTTTTAAACAGTTACAACAAATAGCAGTATCATTATACAGTTCCGAATGCATAAATAATGATAGGACCTGAACAATTCTTAACAAATAAAGATTGAACTTTAACTGTTATGTACGCAAATTTCTATCTTGGTTTTGCTGGTTTGTTACCCTGTATGCCAAACAATAATCGAAACATTCAAAATACAATGTACTTGTATTTCAGAAGAGTGCCCAAAACCATTAATCAATAAATATTTATTTGATGTGTGGAACAAAGAAAAAACAAGATTAATTAATATGACCCGTACATCGTTTCCTGACAAGACAGTTTTAAAACTTGTTTCAACCAACTGGAATTGCTCGGTTGATTCTCAGTTCAGATGTGATGGTGATAAATGGAAAGAAACAATGTCAGAATGTCCAATTGCACTTGGTAAGATAAGTTTTACGTGTGTATATCATTTCCTTCTTAATGTCACACATTAAAATAATCTTTCTATAATATTTGTACATATTCCTGGTCCTTCTCAAATCGTTGCTCTTTGCTGAAAATAATACTGATTTCCAATGAGGCTATTTACTGTTAACTGATCAGAAATGTACGTTTAATGTTTAATGCGACTATTAAAATGTAACCCATTTGCAATAATAATCAAGTAATGCAATATAAATAGACAAATGTTACCACTTCGAAAGTTTTTTCCAAAAAAGCTTTTGTTTTATCGAATAAAATCAGTTATATAGTTTAAAGACTGTTCTTACATTTAAAAAAAAACAACAAAAAACAAAAAAACAATTCCATAACTTGTAGATTTCTGCAATGGCGATCCCTCGGAAGCATTAATCACAACAAAATTACATTAAAAATGCAGATTTGGTTTGATTTTGGAGTATGTATATGAAGGGTAACGAAACTCTACAACATCCCTCCTGCCCTCTAGCACTGCTTGAGTGTATTCAAAGTGATGGAATCAATTTTTCCGAAGGACAAGAGAATAAGACAGCACTTGAGTGAAGACGGTTATCTTTTAACACTTGCCGCACAGCGCTCGAAGCATGCTGTTATAATGTATGAATAGTACAATATATATTTCCAATTGCAAATAATCAAATATTTGCATATAAATTTACATAACATTGAATTTTCAAAATCTTAATAAACTGTGTTACATTTTTAGACATCGAGATGACTGATGGAATTGAAAGTGTTGTTGAAGTTATCTTAAATGACGAACATCGTGGTTATATCTGTGATGACGACTGGGATGATAATGATGCAACTGTTGCTTGTAAAATGCTCGGATATACGTAAGTTAACCTATATACATGTTCTAAGTAAGCACACAAACAATCCACGAGAAAAATAAATTATTTTATACTTGCGATATATATCGTCACCTTGAAGCAAAAAGTCTTGTTACTGACATTTCTTAGAAAATCATTTTTTGTCATTTTAGATAACAAATGCTTTGGTCACAAGTTTAAAAGTTGAGTTTTGATAAAAAATGACAAAGAAACAATAAACTTAATTGTAGCACCAGAATGGGTTGGTTAAAAAACTGTAGGAATTTATATCTTATGTCAAAGAATTACTTTTGACCATTTTTGTTATTTTTAAACACATGATACTTTGATACGTTACTATGTAAGGGTCTCATAGCATAGTTGTAACCGAAGTTCTGGAAACAAAGTGATCCCTCGGAAGCATTAATCACAACAAAATAACATAAGAATTGCAGACTCGGTTTGATTGTGTCAGTACATGAGGGATTATGTATAAGTGCAACATCCCTCACGCCCCCCTAGCACCGGCTTGAACGGTACTCAATTCTCAACACTTAATAGTGTTGGCATCAATGATCCCGAAGGACCAGAAAATATAACAACACTGAAGTGAAGTACGGGGCAACTTTTTACGGCTGCCACACGGCACTGAACACCTGCTGTTGTGAAGTAGAAAATTCTGGAAACAAAGTGATCCCCCGGAAGCATTAATCACAACAAAATAACATAAGAATTGCAGACTCAGTTCGATTGAGTCCGTACATGAGGGATAATGTATAAGTGCAACATCCCTCACGCCCCTAACACCGGCTTGAGCGGTACTCAATAATTCTCAACACTTAATAGTGTTGGCATCAATGATCCCGAAGGACCAGAAAATATAACAACACTGAAGTGAAGTACGGGGCAACTTTTTACGGCTGCCACACGGCACTTGACACCTGCTGTTGTGAAGTACAAAATTCTGGAAACAAAGTGATCCCTCGGAAGCATTAATTACAACTAAATAACATAAGAATTGCAGACTCGGTTTGATTGAGTCTGTACATGAGGGATAATGTATAAGTGCAACATCCCTCACGCCCCCTAGCACCGGCTTGAGCAGTACTCAATTCTCAACACTTAAAAGTGTTGGCATCAATGATCCCGAAGGACCAGAAAATATAACAACACTGATGTGTATTTCGGGGCAACTTTTTACGGCTGCCACACGGCACTTGACACCTGCTGTTGTGAAGTACAAAATTCTGGAAACAAAAACTTTTTAACAAATGAATAAAAGATAGATAAAAATGAAAAATTATTCTAATTAAATGTGTGTTTTGTAAATGTTTCTCAAGATCACTTATTTTTTGATGCTCGAAAAACCATAAGTTGCTGCTCCGGCGCTTCATTGTGGATATAATACTTTTTTAGGGCCTCTGACAAAACTATCGATAACTGAGGGGCACATTTTATGAAAAAGTCTTACGTTTTGGAAATCAGAAACATTGAATTCAATGTATAAAAATCTTGAAAACTGGTGACCCCTTCGAAAAAATGGAACAACATAATATGAAAACTGTAGAATATGTTTTATTGAGTCTATTCAAAAGAGATCATTAAAAATACAACATTGGGCTCTGACTGCATATGACATCATGATTTACTGAAAACCGGAAAAGATTGTGGCACCCACAATGAGAATCCAATGAAAACATGCTTAAGATCTCCATATCAACTAGACCCTATCAAAATGTTGAGGATAAAAGTTTAAAGACCATATTGATTTTATTTAAAATTTCAATGTCTATATCCCCGTGTATGTCTTCGTCCCCGCTAGGGTTTGGACATATTCTGGATAAAAAATAATCCCGCAGAAAATTTCAGGATTCCCAGGAGTAATTTTAAAAACATCCCTTTTAATCCGAAATATAAACATTTGTACAATTTCCTACAGTCAAAGGTTTAAAACATGACGGCACATTCGTTGGGTAATACATATGGCAAGATAATAGCGCATTGGAGACAAAAAAACCTGATTCTTCCTTTTATGATGCAGATCATTTAAAATTATCAGGAGACTTAATCACAGTTTTTGTAGAAAGGGCATATAGACCATATTGATTTTATTTAAAATTTCAATGTCTATATCCCCGTGTATGTCTTCGTCCCCGCTAGGGTTTGGACATATTCTGGATAAAAAATAATCCCGCAGAAAATTTCAGGATTCCCAGGAGTAATTTTAAAAACATCCCTTTTAATCCGAAATATAAACATTTGTACAATTTCCTACAGTCAAAGGTTTAAAACATGACGGCACATTCGTTGGGTAATACATATGGCAAGATAATAGCGCATTGGAGACAAAAAAACCTGATTCTTCCTTTTATGATGCAGATCATTTAAAATTATCAGGAGACTTAATCACAGTTTTTGTAGAAAGGGCATATAGTGTCACTTTAAGTTAAGTGACATGATTTAATAATCCGTGCTCTTGGTTAAGCTATTCTAATTATATTTTGATTTAATTAGTTGCTTACAGCAAGTGCATACTTATGTTTACACGTTCTTTGAAAGTTTACAAATTCATACCAGAGAATATAATTTTACCATCAGTATTTGCCTGTCAGTATTAACTTATTGATAACTGTTACTTTAGAATAAGTTATGCGTGACTACCGAAAAGTTATTTCAATATTCTGAGTTCTTACTTTCTTCATTAATACGATTTTTGTATGACATGCTGTTCCCAATACACAACGACACATTTTAAATCATATTTCCAAGGACAATATTTTAAGTTTACACCATCTATAGGTTTTAGACGATAAGCTTATCATTCACGTTTCTTGTTGAACTGTTGTTTTAACCATATAAAAATGAGCAATAGTTATAGCAGTTAAAGTATATGAAACGAGTGAGTAACAAAAGTATAACACTGAATGGAGCAACATCGAGAGATGTTTCTGCTGTCAGAAAACAATTTTTCAGACATGTTTTCAGACAATTTTTTGTGTGTGAATTACCAGTGTTGAAACAAAACATAAATCCGTTTATTATATTTTTACCAGGAAAGGTTTGGCTTTCTTTCCAAAAGCTAAAGAAGTTAACGAATCTTTACCTATTCTTCTTGACAACGTGCAATGTAGTGGCAAAGAACTTTCTCTTTCTGATTGCAAACACAATGGTTGGGGTAATCATAACTGTGATTATTCAGAAGTGGTATCAGTGAAATGTTTCGACGATTCATTTACCAACCATATAAATTTAACGACGAACATAACTTGCGGTAAGAAAACTCAATAATAGAAAAAAGTATCTATAAGTAATTATCCATTGTGCGAATGTTTTAACTTACATGTGTAACATTAAGCTTGTCATTGAAGGAAAAGATATAGACTAAATTTTGCTAAGGACACAAAATGTTTTAGCGGGAATGTTTTCGACAATTATTACACTACTGTCGGGTTCATTTAAAATGTAAACATATTGTTTAATAAATTTCATAAAAACAAAAAAAAAAATTTAACATTTTTACACATTATGCATTAGTTTTATGTAAGTCAGCTGAACATTTTTGTGATATTTAGAATACTTGCACGGAAATTTGGTTCCCAAAATGCCACAACCGCATGCATGTTTACAACTTTAGCGTGTGCTTGGCAGTGATTTCGTATCAACCTTATAAGGTTTCTGGACCACGGTCCACTCATGAATCGACATGGTATACAGCTCCTGGATGCTAATAGGTTGTACCTGGTGTGCAAATATCCGAACCTGTGGCTTATTCCACATGTGCATACTTGGAATTTGGGTCCAGTGGTCGAACTAGGCAGTAAAATGCTCGATTCCCGTCCTCTGCAAGTAGTCGAAACACCTGTCCTTTGGGCGCAGATTATTATCACTAGAAGATTACAATTGTTGAATTCGGGTTTCATTTGGATTAAGGTTATTTACGTAATGTCACAATAAACAAAAAAACGTTAAAACTTGTGAAACTAATTTTCTAACTTTTATTATAATAATTATGATTGTTTTAATATTTGTTGATTTTTAAAAGGCAAAGGTTTGTAGATAATTATATTACTGTGACTACAACTTTAATGGGTTTTTTGATCTGTTAACACGTTTCTTGTTATAACGTATGATATGATGTAGGTCTGGAAGTAAGTTATTCCGTATCGTTTCTGAAAGTTTCATGAAATTTAAAAATCTGAATACATTATTACACAAATAGTAATGTTCTTTTAATATCGTTATTTTGTTATTTCAATGACTAACAGCCGAGTAATTTATCCGTTATTAGTCGCAATTGATACAAAGGGTCTTTGTCGGATTAACTGCTATGCGTACTTCGTATAATGAATTTAGCTTCCTGGTTAGAGAAATATTTTATTTTTTTCGTGCTTGTAAACTTTAGGTACAATAAAAATGCATAATCATAATTCCAAGAGAAAAAAAACGACAAGTAAGGGTAATTGGTGGCTTGGAGGCAGAAAAGGGTATGCATCCATGGCAAGTGAATATTCAACGAAAGAAACGTGGACGGATGCGAAATTGGTGTGGTGGTACAATTATCAATAAAGAGTGGATATTGAGTGCTGCACACTGTTTTGAGTATTTATTTTATGCAAACATTTATAATGATTATTCATTCCATTTGATATTTTATCTTGGTGAACTTTATCATCTTCGCCTGAATAATACTATCAGATGATACTCAATATTAGTTATCTTAATTCATTCACTTTAAATAAAAGTTTTGTAGTTTTGCTTTATTTTCATAAACCATTTGACTGCATACTTTTGACAGACATATACGTAAGGATTATCTAGACAAATGCTAACATAATCATATTATTACATAAACATATTAAGAACAAATATTGATTAAAGTTGCACTTTAGATATCAAAAGAAAGATCAGTATACGCTTTAAGTAAATGAGTAATGTTTGATATTTTGATTTTAGTGATTTTGTACGAACATACGATGGTTTGAATGCTAAATTAAATATTAAGGACATACGGGTTATTGTTGGAGACCATGATCTAACGAAACATGATGAATATGAAAAAATGTTCGAAGTTGAATATATTGTGAAACACTGGAATTACAATGGTATGTTTTTGTATGGTATCAATAAAACATTTGTTTAAGCTTGTTATAGAGAAAATAGTTTTTCGTCTAAGCATGTTAGAGAATTCAGTTGCCATACACTGGTATAATGGTAGAGTGACTATGACCTGAAAAGTCTGATAAAAAATAGGGTAGGTGGGACAGTCATTGCAACAAGCAATGTTATATACCAAAATGTTCGTTAATGTTTGTAGTTTATGAAACCACCGGCATAAATCGGCATAAATGATGGCATTCAGCGAAATCCAAGATGGCCGCTTTTGATACTGAACTTCACCCTTAACTTTACATGGCTAAAATTTTGCATACAATCGGATACATTTTGATATTTATCAAATATTCAAGTCACTGTAAGGACTGTTCAAAGATAAACATATCTTTTGAATCAAATTTTCATTGATGATTTGTATTTTCTTATAAAGATTTGTTGATAAAATAGAAGTTTCGAAAGAAAGTTTGCTTTAAGAAGTGGGTTTAACTATAAAGTTCTGCAGGAATTTCATCTTATCCTACCAATTGAAGATTTTTGAATATGAATTGAAGCTCACCTTTGATATTCATTGCAAGAATCGACTTTTAACGTTGTTTTTCTTTCGTAAAACATGGTAGAATATAAAAAAACGCACGTTGGTATTTTCATGGCAACTTTTTTTCCCAGTTAAATAAAGAAAAGTTTATTTATTTTCAAAAATATGAATTCTTTTGGATCAATTTTAGAATGCATAATTTAAGAAAAGAAATGTTAAGTGAATCAACTCTTTTCTATATTTTAGCAGTTTCATTGCATGTGTACCCGTGCCCCCCACCCCCCAAATAAATTGGAGCATATGCTAATCACGGGTATGATATGTCTTTTATATGTTAAAAAGAACCTATCATTTCATTATGGGTAACCAAGTAATTATTATTAGCAAATTAAAGCAAAATAATATTTTTTGTCATGTTCTGAATAAATTGTTTATGTAAGGAGTAGTTTAATCACTGTCTTAGATTACTTGTCACGGGTTTCCTTACCAATTTAACATGCATATGTTATGGCAAGGAAATCAGTATGCAACATCAATACTTTTTTGCCCTTCTTCTTTTCTTCCGTTAGAACAATATATTCGAGATTCAGGCCTATTTGCTGTTAGAGAATTACAGATTTACATTTGAGTTAAGAAGGCAAGTTTGTTGCTAAACTAAGTACTGGGTGTTTTCATTCTGTATAGTTTGACTATATCCTTGAAGTCACAGAAAATAAAGCACTATAATCCTTTGGAAGCATTATAGGTCTAACCCATAATGACTGTGCTCTCTCTCACTGGTTTTTTTGCAAGGCCATTAATTGCTAAGTACTATGCCATGGCTTACACATCTGACAATAATTCTTGCTCAAACAAACATCTAACAGATACACCTTTCCATACAAAGTCAAAAAGATGTTGAGTATATTCAAAAGTGACATCTTCATCAATCCATTTCCTTTATCTGTATCCACCTTTTCAACTTTTAAACATTGCAAATGGTGTTGAACTTCCATAAGATGTTGTAAGGAACCTACTAAATTGTCTAAAAAGTTAAACAGGCCAACGAAATATTGTTTGTTTTTGTGTGAGACAGTTTTGTTGCACAGAAACTTTGGGTGCTGAGCTCAAAATGCGTTAAAAATGAAACAAATTGTATAGCTGTCAATCCCAGCGCATATTCTTGTCATATATATCAATAAAACGTAATTAAAGCTGTTTTGCAAAACAAAATAATATTACAACGTCTATAATTATAGATGTTTAAATATGAATTTTGTTCAAAACAGCTTAAGTTTAATAGATACATATGACAAGTCTAGTGCTAGGATTGACAATTATACTTATTTTTATTCTAACGCATTTTGAGCTCCACACACAAAGTGTGGTTTCTTGTAGATATTTGTAAACCTCCCCAAAAGAGATTTTTTGATTCTATGCCAAAATTTTAAGTCCTTTAAAGGAGGTCAGTAATGTCCAAAGGATTGTTTAGATTGAACACTGTCCCTATTGATGTTGAAGAGATGTATTTAAGACTTGTCGCAATAAATTCATTTAAGAAAGTGCATTTTTTACAGGTTTCTATCCTTTGAGAATGCCCCCGTTCCTTTGAGTTTGTTCACAGATGATGTCAACACAGAAATCTGATTTCCTTGAAAAACTTGAAAACCTAAAAACATTTAACAATGATGAGTTTAATGCACATGCTTCGAGTATAGCCGACTGTTTTATTTTTGATGCTACTGCAGTATGGCCGTTGTTCAGCTGCTGCAGCCTCAGTCAAGGATAAAGACAACATACCAGATGTAGGCTTTATCGTTCTGGCAAATTGTAGACATTTTGTCACATAGTCAAAGTGCACTGCACATAACTGAGTTATTGACAGGTATATTTTAGATAGCCTTAAAACCAAACACGCATAAATCGAGGTGAAAATATTTCCGCTTTCCAGCCAGTTGTAATTCAGCCAAATATCCAGTACAAAAAGTAACAAGAATTTGTAACAGAGTTACCAACGTTCCCCGCCTCAGGAAGCATAAAATTGTGCTATTATAAAAAAATTGAGGTATAAAAAATTGAGGTATGTATCTCAGGACTTTCAGTCCAAAATTACGATCAGTACCAATTTTTTAAAGAAATAAAATGAAACAAAGAATTTAAAAATCTATCATGTTAAGCTTTGACCTCTAAGTGTGACCTTGACCTTGGAGGTAGGGATGCAGGTGTTGTGCCTGACATATCATCTTATTATTGAAACTATTTGTGCCAAGTATTTTCAAAATCCCTTGAACTGTGAAGAAGTTATAGATCGGACACAAAAAATGTACCCTATCACAGACTATGTTAATCTTTGACCTCTAAGTGTGACCTGGGAGATAGGGACCCATGTTTGGGCCTCACACAGGTGTTACGCATGACATATTATCTTATCATTGTGACTGTTAGTGCCAAGTATTTTTAAAATCCGTTGATCTATGAAGAAGTTATGATCGGGACACAATATATACCATATAACAGACTCCATTATTTTTTTACCTCTAAGTGTGACCGTAGCCTCGGAGGTAGGTGACTGGTTGGCTTTTGCGCATAACACATAGTCTTATTAATGTGAACAATTGTGGCAAGTTTTGACAAAATCCCTTCAAAGATAAGAAAGTCATGGACCGGACACGACATATACCTTCAAATAGACAATATTGACCTTAAAGGAGCAAGTGCGACCTTGACCCTGGAGGTAGGGGTCTGGTTGTTGCGCATGACACATCGTTTTATTATAAAAATCATTTGTGCCAAGCTATTTTAAATTCCTTTAATAAATGACAAAGTTATGGATCGGACACGTGAGTGTGACGGACGGACAGACGGACGGAGCCTATTTCTATATCCCCCTTTTTTCGAAAAGGCGGGGGACAAAAATCCACCTTCAAATTTTTTTACTAGATATCTCACTGAAAACTGTCATGAGTTACTTGTCCTGATGAGAGAACCACTAATTTTAAAGCAGAAGGATTAGATGAACAGTTTTAAAAATCACTCCTTTATTTGTGGAGTATGTTCCAATATGAGATTCAAATCATGAAGAAAATGATAGCAGGATTATTCTGCATGTTGCTTTTGCTTCCTCATTAGGTGGGAACAGCAAGCCTGTTGTTTTTAGTCCTTATACTGATTTATGTGTACTTCTTATAAATCATTTCTCAGAGCTTAGTATGGAAGGTATTTACTTTAACTGGTAGAAAAGGTATGCACAGAGACCTGACAAGATATATTCCGGTACATACAGTAAAAATTTCAGTGTTCTGCCTCCACAACAGAGAAGTATCAAACTTTCTGTGTATTATCTTAAAGGTTGTGATAACTTTTCATCATTTCGTAGCAAAGGAAAGAGGAAGGCTTTTCAGGTAATGTGTACGGCTGTTAATGATCTTAAAAATCTTACTGACCTAAGGAAAGATCTGGTACTTCCAATTCATGCTAACACTGCTGCATTTAAGTTTGTATAGTCCCTCAATGTTCATTGATCACCCCGGGTTCTTTGCAAAAAGGGGGTCATATCAAGGAAATGACCTTAAACAAATGATAGCTTTATTCTTCATTTACTGCGATGTATACTTCAGTTATTCTTATGGCGTTCAACTTTGACAACAATAATTCCTCCCCTTCATCAACTTTGGATAAAGTTAGGAATGTACAATCCACAGTTTATGACACAACCTTCAGCCGTATCTGATCTTTTAAGTGACCATGTATATACTTGTTCTAACCTTTTCAGTGATGAAGTGTTTGTTTGGGCAATGAAGAGCCGTGTAACATAACGTAAAAGGGGTTTTACAAGGGCAAATTCATTTAGCATGTCGGCAATTGTTGAGACAAATGATAATTGTGATGATGGTTGCATATAGTGAAATTGAAAAGAAAAATACACTAAGTGTTACATTGACTGTGGTTTGACATAAATAACAATATCTTTTTCAAATCACTGTGTCATATACGTATAGAAATTCTGGAAACAAAGTGATCCCTCGGAAGCATTAATCACAACAAAATAACATAAGAATTGCAGACTGAGCGGTACTCAATTCTCAACACTTTATAGTGTTGGCATCAATGATCCCGAAGGACCAGAAAAAAATAACAACACTGAAGTGAAGTTACTGTAGAAAATAACATTGAAAACCCTTTAAATTTTATCAAATTGAACCACTGATTTTTGTTCTGGTTTTGCTGAATTTTTACATTTATATAAGCAAATGTATCAATGTTTATGTACACCATACAACATAAAAGAACTTAGTTAACCCATTACTTCATGAGCATTTTGTGAAAAATGGCTGTTTTCATTGAAAAGTCTCCCGTTACAAGTTCAAATTGCTATAATACTATAAAAACTGCTTCAACACTAATCAAACTTGGCACAAATATTGACTGGACCATTGCCCTCGCAACAACATGCTCAGGCTTAAATTT